CCACCCTTCATTGTAACACTGAGTGGATGCTAGTGTCAACTACACCTGGCAGGGAAGTGGAAATTATGCCCTCATTCAAGTAACTTGTCTTCCAGGGGAATTCATGGTCCAGGCCAGGGTTGTTCAGCTGGTGGCCTGTGACCAGTTAAATACCTAGCCTGCAGGCCCTGGCAGCCCTGTCTCACTGCCAGGCAGACGGGAAAGAGCCAGGGGTTAGTGTGCGACCTGTGTGGCAAGAAGCAGAGCTCCACCTGCTGCCAGCAGGGAGCAGGGGGCTCTTGGTGCAGCCTGCATGGTAGGGGAGGGCTGCCTCGGCAGGGTGTGGCCTGTACGGTGATTAGCCCTGGGGACATGTGCCAGCATTACAAGGAACCTAGCCATGCTCAAGTTGGACAGCACTGGTTTAAGAAAGCATAAAGTGAGTTCATAGATGGATTAGCCCTGAGTATGGTGGGAAGTGGCATAGCCTCTCTCAACATAGTTCTGCAGGAACCCGAGTTGCGGTCAAAGACCATCCCACCAGAAAGGAAGTGGCAGGATACTGTAAACACCAGGACATATTGATCATAGACTCAGTCATGAAGAAGGAGGGCTGGAAGGGCTCTCCAGAGGTCATCTAGTCCAACCTCCTGCCTGAGGCAGGATTGTCCCTATTCAAACCATCCCGTACAAACCATAATCTAAACTGTACACAAGTCTACCATCAACCCTGACACAACACAGACCTGCCACAGGTAAAAGAGGGGAACCATGGCAGCCAACATCCTGCTTCTATGAAATGTTGTCAATATATGCTCAAGAAATCCCGGGTAGAGGCCCATGTCCCCCACCCCCTGCAGGGGAAGGCAAAAACCCCCACAGTCCATACAAATCTGTCCATGGGATAAAATTCCTTCCTGACCTCAAATACGGCAAATAGTCTGACCCTGAGTGGAGGGCAAGACCCTGGAGCCAGGAACCTCTGGCTTTGGGCCCAGCAGGAGCATTTTGGCACACCCCAGTCCAAGTCCCAAGGCTTGGCTGTAGCCAACACCCAGTGCCTCTGAGGGAGGCTTAAAAACACCCTGATCCCTCTTTCCCAAAGCCAACTCTCTCAATCACAAGGAGTTTCAAGAATGCTAGTGGAGCTAAGGAGAGGAGCAAAGGACAGATAGATATCAATGTCAGCATCATATCTTGGGCAAAACAATTAATAAAAACCAATCTTTTCAGTCCCAGGAAGGATATTCTAAGTACAGGCAACAACTATTGAGGGGAATTCAGTATGAATGTTAAGGACTTCTCTCTGGTGAGAAGACTGTAATCCTTATTTTAGACTGATCTGGCCACCATCATCCATGCTTTCACAACTGCAAGGCTAAGCTATTGTGATATGCTCTACATGGGGCTACCTTTGAAAACCATCTGGTAGCCTCTACCTTTTGACAGGAGCGGGTTGTCAAGACCAGAGTCTGCATTGGCTCCCAATATCTTTCTTGGCACAATTCCAGGTTCTAGTTTTGATGTATAAGACTGTAAATGGTCTGGGCCCTCTGTACTTAACGGAGTGTGTTCACCCTTACGCCCTATCACAGTCCTTAAGCACAGCCAAGAACAATCTTGGACACGCACCGTCAGGATGCCAAGTTGCTTAACTAAAACCCACGTGAGGTTATTCTCCTCCGTTTGCTCCTCGGCTCTGGAATTCCCTCCCTCTCAAGGCTTGCCAGAGCTGAAGCCTAGACATGTTTCAAAAGTGCTGTTCTTATTTGGGCAGGCATTTCCCAAATAAAACTGGGGTGAGATGTTGTTCAGGGAGTCTTGGTTTTTATCTTGACATTCTCGTTCCCTTGTAAATTGTTCTGGTCCTCTTGTCACTACCCTTTTTTAAGTTATTCTGTATTCTTACTGTAAGCCATGCTGAGCCTTTGTTGAGAAGTGCAGCAAATAAATCAAATAAATAAAAATATACAAACATTCTTCTAAGTTTACCAAGTCAATCCACTTTTTAAAGCTAACAGATGCCCTTCTCAGTGACTATTTTCCATATTCAAATCCTTCCCATTTGGCTCAGTTTGGTCATAGTCAATAAGTCCCTTAGCCTAAGCATAGCTCGGGATAAACTGTGAAAGAAAACAGGTCATAATTGGGCCACAGACTCCATTTCTGGTTACCTTGTACAGGTTTGTGTAACATGAGCGTCTACTGTCCAATATTTGCAAGTCTATAAGTCAGTAAAAACACTTAAATTAAACTGATACTGATTCTTACATCTACCAAGCAGAACATACACACTCACATGCTCCAGGTCATCACATGTCCTCATACAGCACTGGTAACTTAAAAAAAAAAATCTACTTCAGGACCTTGCCACACGTTCAAATTAAAGCTGGGTAGAAACCAACTTCAAACACTAACTTGGTAGCTGGTTGGCTCTTTTTATAGCTAAATGGACATTTTTATAGCATGATATTTACTTTACACATTTGCTTGCCCGGTCTAAATTTATTGCACAATTAACCGGTTAATTGTAATGCAATGTTTAGCAGGGGCCTCAGACATCAGTGTGTGTCCAGATTCTGAAATTTCTTTTCCTCTTTATCAGTTTATTTCACTGTCTGACCGTCAACAATGACATTGGCCTTCCTTTTTAATCTAAATATGCCTAAGCACAGTTCACACTATTGCCTTATGTTTCTATTTCAGCGTACAGGAATTCTTTAGCAAGCAATTAGAACAGTCTGTCCCCCTCAGTCTTTAGACTAAAGAAAATAATTTCCTTAGTTATCTCAAGTTCTAGCTTCTAACTTCACCCTTTTTGTCTTAAAAATGATACCTAAAAATGAATGCAAGTTGCTGAAATCTAAATATAAAACTGAAGAGATAAGTACCTCCTTGTTTTTATATAAACTATCCCAAAACAGCATGTTTTTGCAATGAAATGAAATGATAATGCCAATTAAAATGAGAAACCTTAGAGCTTTAAAATGCTAATTCATTCTACATTCAAACATTTAATTAGTTCTTCCTGCAGTGTTTGTCCTTACTAAATTTCACTTGGCAGGAATCAGCCTCCCCCACCAAATTTATTTCACTTGAATGCTTTTGCTCCTGTTTTCCAAAATATTTACCATTATTCACAACTTTGTAGCTTATGGCTATTAAAAGACCAGATTCCACTTGATAACAATCATTCTTCCTCCTCATTACCATCGTTCATCACTTTCCTAGGTGGCAACACTCACCGCTTCATCCTTTATGTTTGAAGTGAAAGAATTTAAAATGCAGCATTGTTTACAGACAGATATGTAGCTGATTCAGGGCATCACTTGGAAACAAAGCAGAGAGTTTTGGTATTTTGTAAATACAACCTACCATATGAGTTAGAAATTTTCATTAGATGCTAGCAAAGGAGAGCCTATGGATACAAATGAGAATTTCTGATTTCATCAAAGGAAGAGCCATAGCACATGCCAGCCAGTGTTCTGCAACAATTTACTAAGGCATTGATTTTCAATTGCAAGACATTACTATAAAATTTCTACTTTTTTCTAGCTCTTGATGTCTGATATTAACAAACAAGATCCTCCTATTTTCTATCAGTTAACAGCAGTTAACAATTGCACTTTCGCATTCTAAATATTTACCAATACTGACTGCATTATTAGTTTCACTTGCATAATGAAATTAATTTTAGATAGCCATGACTAGATGCATAACAAGTAAACTTACTTGTTGGTTACTTCAGGCTATCTTCATATGCATGTGTATACCTCATAGATGTGCAGGCATCTCAGGTCACAAGAGCCTAAACGCAGCCCCATGTTAAAGTGGGGAAGTCAATTTAATTAAACTGATCAGCATTTTTTTAAATAAGTGATTAATACATCTAGAACTTGCCTTCACTAACCTGCAATACACTGAAAGGAAAGCTGCATTTAAAATCCCCCTCATGATAAAGTGTACAGCCAACAAAGGAAGTGTATAGACGTGGAGACCTGCGTTAATACCCTTTGCTGAAAATAAAACTGAAGTTTCAAAAAGCTCTCTCTAAAAGACACCTGGGCCATGTCCAGATGAGTGCAGGCATGCAGTATCTGGTGCCATAGATATGTCTGCGGTGCCACATACCACGCATTCAGGTGTTCTCTGCACTGCAAGCGGGGGGGGGAGGGTTGACCTCTGAATATCCAGGGGTCAAAAAAGCAGAGCAGTGCACATGGGGGCAATGTACACTGCTCAAAACCAGAGCCAGACCAGCCAGAGCCATGCTTCAGCTACTGGCCAGGCTCCAAGCAGCAAGATGGTCACTGCTGCAGCCCCAGGAAGCCCCCAGGACACCTGATAAGGCTGCTGCGGCCAGCCCAGTGGCCCCAACCTCCTCTACTCCACCCGGGGTAACTTGCCACATGCCAGAGGGTACATGGCATAGGCATTCCCCAGGGACTAGTGGCAGCACAAGGTGTCACTGCTAGTTGTCTCCAGGAAACCAACTATTTATGTTCATGTGGACGTGGCCCCTGGAGTGCAAGATGGTCCACAGACGCTCAAGGAAGGCCACAATGAATGCACAGGAACCCAACATGAAACCAAATCAGAAACAAATTGCCTAATTTACTTACTATATTATTTTAATACAAAATCCAGTGCTATAGTAATACTATGCAACTTATTCAGGTGGATGAAATTGGTTATCTTCCACATAGCCATGTTATTATCTGTACATGCACATGCAAGTAAGGTTGTAGCGCACTTGTGCACTCAAAGAGGTTGTCAGGGACATCAGAGCAGTAAGAGGTACCTTGGTGTTAACTACAGAGAGAATGTTGAAAAGCAAGATGTAGGTGCTTCCATATCATTTGCTGCTTCTACCTTCCTTTTCTTCTCCATTCTGGGTTTTCACACCTATAATTTTGTCAATATTAATAGTGTCACTGGACATCTCTCATGCCTGAGTATCATTACCTATGTTGATGTAATCTGAGTGTTAGTTCTCTCAAAAACCTCCATCTCCTTTTTAGTGCATAATAGGACCATCACACCTCCGTTTTGGCCAAGGTTCATCATCTTATTGCTGAGGTTCCAGTGATGATATACCAACTGCAGAATCAAGGCAGGCAATAAAACCAGTTAACATATTTCTCCAGGCAACTTCTGCCATTTGCATTGTAACAGAGAACATTTGTGTGAGAAATCTGTTCACTTCCAAGTTTAATAAAAGACTCTCAAATCATTCTTGATCTGCAATTTGTCTTGGTAGCGTGAATGATTCCTTTACCTAGTGGCTGCAACACAGAGATACAAACAGTTGGATGAAAAGAACTCTATCCATCACTTTTTCCTAATGTCTTTGGAGACAAAGTTATGGGCAGAACAGTTATTCATAGACAAAGCAATTTTTCCTGCCTTTCATCCAGGAGCCAAGACTGAGAAGCCCATCTTTGAACAGCTCTACAGTCACTTATGTAATTGTGTTAGACCAGCAATTACAAAGCAACTGTTCATGTTTTCAGAGTGCCTAGGCCTTTTGTATTTGTCAGTTTATTAATAACTTCCATTTACCTGTGCCACTTGCATTGCACAATGGTAATGATAACTGCTGTTTTTACATCTTCCTCCCCCCACAGCCCCAACAGCAATCAACCCTTCCAGCTAGAATTCTTTATGCTGACACACAATAGAAAGGCCAGCCTCATCTGCATTATATAAAACCAGTGTAAGTAATTTTTTAATGCTTTGCTGTTCAGTCACTTGCTAGAAAGAGGAGGTATCTATAGGCCCAACCTCCCATAAAGCATTTTAGCAGTAATGCTACAATGCTTGTGAAAGTGATACAGCATGCCAGTACCAGCTTTAAAATTGTTAGCACTGTTTATCTGCAACTTCCCCTGACTTACAAGGCTTGCTGAGAAGTTTTTACCTTCCCTGTCCACATCTTTGAAAATCCCCAGTGCAGACACCATTCCTGATTGGTCTAAACATGCCACACTGGATTTTGCTTTCCTTTATGCCTGTTTTTTTTTGTTTTTTGGGGGGTTTTTTAATGTAACCAGAGCTGATAGTACTGTTATATTTTGGAGCATACCACTCTTCTATAGATTTCAATATTCATTTATTTTATACATTGTAATTGGTCCTTCAAAGAAAATTGCTTACCTTTACCCTCTTCCTCCACTGCAATCAACCCACAATGGCATGGGATACACAGAGATGCAAATGTGGGTTTTTACATAAGACATTTACTGTATGTAGTACTGGTAGGTGAATGATGAGAGAAAGAAGGAAAAGTATGCATGACGCAGGTAGTTGTGTTCCATTTTTACATTTAATTTATCTGCTACTGTTGTATCTGCTGTTGAAGTTCATTTTACTGATCATAACTGGAGACCCCCTGAGTGAAATCTAAAGTTATAACTGAAATTTCTCATACTGAAATATAGTAACATAGACTCACGTGGGGGGTGAAGCAAGAATTTAAGTTTTGCTTCTTATACTGACATTTTCATTCTGACAAGATTTCATTTTTGCTGTAGTGCATCCATATCTGGATCAGCTGAATGTAGTTAATACAAAACTCATTAGATTATTAGATCATGTATGAATCTACAGGCATGATTATTCTGATACCTGGTATTTGCATGCTTCCCCTACCAGGTTAATTAACTTTGCCCACTCCTAAAACTGAACATTTGATATTACCTTATATTTGTAATCTTTATAAAATTATGACTACTGTCTCATGATACTCCACTATCGGTTTCAAGCCACTGTTGCATCAAATGCATCCTGAAGATCTGTGATCAAAAAAGTAAAACACACATGGACTTGGAGCTAACACCATATATTTGTAAGTAAAATTAGTAAACATGACAAAACAAGATTACAAATGATGTATCAAGCCCTTTCAAGAATTTGAAAAATACAAGAAAAAGATTAATTTTACACTTTAAAGCAACACCACAATGGGGTATGCATATTACCAAAACCACAGCTACTTTTATATGTTCCCAAAAGCAGTTTCAGATGAAACGGTGATATTCCCTACCACCAGTACAACCACAGACACAGATGTTAGTTTGGTTACAGCTTCAGGAATCAGTGCAGTACAGTGCAAATTTCATTCACAGGTTACTATGGATTTTGAGTAGATGCAAGACAATACTACAGAAATACAAGTAGAAATTTATAGATTTCATCTCAGGAAAAAAAGTGCTGAAAACTTAAGCATACCATACAAACAAACTGTAAAAGTACACAAAAGGATGGAATTCTGAAGCAAGACAAGTAAGTATTAATTGTGTATGCGACAGCTTAAGAAAAAAGGAAGCTAAACTTAATCATTAGTACAGATATACACAAGGGAATCTGAATGATTTTTTTCCCAAAAATGTAAATACAGTCTCCATTTTAGAAATAAAAATAGTTTTACAAGTACTAAAATTACAAAGCTAAGATTTGTTGCTTGAAAATGCTGTCTCTGAACAGTCAATTTTTCCTCAATTCTATGTCAGCTTCCTGCCAAGGAATAAGAATACAATATATTCTAGCTATCCTTTTGAGTACATACAACTGTTTATTGCTTTTCTAGTAATTCTGAAGATTTCTCCTGGCCCTTACACTCTAATCCAGAAAGTGTATTCCCTGTTTAAAAATAGTTCAAAGAATGTCAACTTTATTCTTTAGCACTTTTTAAAGAGGTTATTTTTCAGTTGAAAACAAAAGACAGTATTCTCTTACTCCAATCTAAACCTATTGTAACAATTTTCACTTGAAGTAATGTATACAGACTGTTCATGTAGTACGTCTCATATTAATTGCATTCAGATAATTGGGCACTGAAGTGAAGATTATAAATCTAAATAGCTTTAATTTCTTTAAAATAACTCTTATATTGTTACAATGTACAGATTGGGAGACTAGTGCAATATGCGGCATGGATTGTTTATTCAATAAATACTTAACCCAATTATTGCCAGTCAAGGCAAACAGTGCAGAAATTGTCACTTTATAAACAAAGATCTACATACAAATTCAACAATCATGTTTTTATAAAATCAGTTGATATTATATCTCCATACAACTTCAGAGGGTTTTTTCCACATCAGAATTGATTACTACTATTATAAAAATATAGAAATGTCAACATATGTTTGAGTTTTACAGATCTTCAAAAAGCTAAACTTTTACATATATATAGGAACAGGGTAAGGACTTATTAAAAAGTAAAGTGAATACTGTTAGAGACATTTTCTGCACTGACCATTTTATAACTTAGTTACAGTGTTCATGGTCCTGGGTATACCATTTAAAATGAACTAATTTGCATTCCACTTATCTCGAGGTCAGCTGTGTATAAAGGAGGGACATTTTTGCTAGGGTCTCTGCAGATTGTTGGCTGGAAATCTACAGTGGCTTATTTAAAAAATAAAATTCTAAGCTTTATCTAAAAAAATGCCACTGGCTAGCAATAAAAAAAAGTTAGTGTTGTGTTTGGGAAGCAATTTCAAAACTGTAACTTTCCAAGGAAATATGCTACACCACCTTCATAATCCAAATTAAGCTACACATTTACCAACTATTACTTGATACCTCTTAAAATACAGCTCTTCAAAAGACTCTTTAAAAAAATCCAAATATCCCTGTGAAGAACATGCTGAATTTACAATCCAGATCCCAACCCTGCGATGTGATGAGCGTGAATGAAATCCCATTAATTTGCATGAGAGCTTGGGGTCTCCCTGCAAAAAGAAAAATCAGACTGCAATTCAGATCTCAGTCATCCACTGCCATGTCCACCTTTGTGCTCTTTTCAATATCCTATTTTAAGCACACAGCAATTGTTTTTAATAGCACCAATAATTATTTCAGATAACTGTCATGCAAATTCAGACAGCATGCAGCAGGTTTGTTTCTTCCTGAATCAGCACAATTGTTACAAGGCACTGCTTGGTATACAAAGTCATCATAAACAAAAAACCAAAAGATTTCCAAATTCAAGTAGACAGTTATGTCTCAATATGTTCAGTCAATTCATCATTACCCAAGCATGGTTAGAAAAACTTAATCATTTGCTGGAATTTACCAAAAGATTTATCACTGTTTCATGCACATTTTAATCCCACCTTCCAAAAAAATCCCAACCACACAGAAATAAGGTATCACTATCAAAATAAGGATGCATGTTGTTAAATAAAAGATATGCTTAATTTTCCAAACTTCCACAAAAGTCTAATCTAGACATAACTCAAGTATAAGATGGAAAAAATCTGATACATTTGCAACAGTCTATCCCTGCAGAATAGTGAAAAACATTGTCTAGAAAATTCATGTATTGGAGGCACACTGTAGTTGAAGATACTCAGGCAAATTTTATGGCTAGAACAGAATTTTGAGAGAACTCCGACTATAGGTTTCCTGAAAAGCAGCTCTTTATGGTTTAAAACACCAATTGTAACACAATGGAAAAGCTTTTTTGGTCCTTAATCACTGCTGTCATCATCGTCGTCGTCATCATCAGATACATCATTTAAAGGGGATTTAGGTGACTGGCTGTAGGAGTCTGATCTAGTGGGATGACAAGTAGTCATCTCCCCACTAGAAAGAAGATCATAGCAGAAGTCGCAAATTCGTACAGGCTTGGAGGACTGGCTTGGGAGAAGAAACCTCTTTTCAGAACATGGCCCACAAACAACAAAACCACATTTGCGACAGTGATGACGACGGTTTACAGGTGTAAATTTTGCTTTCTGACAACGCATACACACAGTGGCCTCTGAGTCAGGTACCCAAACAGCTGCATGTTCGTTACTGGGAGTCTTTCCACTTTTGGAAAGCAAATCAGACACACACTTATTGATGTGGTTCATCCATTCAGACTTCTCTGTTGCAGTGGCAGCATAAACAGCAAAAGACTTAGTTGGTGTCTTGATAAGCCACCCATTGCGTAGGTCCCCCTCATCTTGGATAGAATCAATAGTGACATTTTCCAATGGTATTATGTGTTGTTTGTTGTATTTTTTCTTCTGGATGACAATGTTTCCATACACAAGAATATCATTGAATAAGAAAAACTGTCTTGCTTTGGGTTTTTTCCTGCACAGCTTTGTTAACACACCTTCTCCAATCAGAACACGACCAGGAATAGTCAAAGGTTGACCAGCTGCTCCAAAACAATTTTCTACTATGCTTATTCGTCTGGTATTTGCTTCACTGTTTGCCAAGCGATCAACCATCTTTTATAAGTACCCTAAGATAATACAATAAAAAAAAAATATATATGAGTCAGATAAAATCATATTTTACAAACAACTAAACAACATAAAATTACTTTAAATTGTTCAGGAGAATAGCAGTGGAAAACAGTTTGTTTCAAATGCAGCCAAGATCACTAAGAGCTCAGTTTTCAACTACTGATGACTCTGGTGGCATAGTTGAAAAGACAAGGGTCCACTTAGTTCCCACTGGACATGCAACTACATTACAAATCTCCACCATGAACAATGCTAATAGTGCCCCTGTTGTTAAATCATCCGATGGACAGGTCAAGAGACTAAATTACCATCCATGTTCCTTGACCAGTGATCTCAAGATTTTCCAAGTTACATGCCCTATATTAAAATAAGTTTGATATGCTGCTATGTACATGTATAATTCAGTATTATAAATAATAAAAAATAAAGTTGATCACTGAAACCACACTACCAAACCCCTCCAACAAGAAATACCATTGAGTTGTTGTTGTTCATTTTTCTCCATATATTTTCCCTTTCCCTTCTTCTGCCTTCCCTTTTTCCCCTCTCTTCTTATGTTCTAGAAATTCACTGCAATTCCTTCTGCCTCCAAGGGATAAATACCCCATTTTAATAAACACTGCTTAAAGATATCCATCCTTTCCACATAAGAATTAGTACACACTGATGGTGCAGAATATGCAGATGTAGTAGCTGTGCTGCATCTATTTTCTGGATAGCAACTCCAAGAACATGTGCCATCCTTCTCAAGCTCCAGGGTTTACATCCTGGCATATTTGGATCAACATGGAAATAAAGAGTTAATCCTATTAGCATTAATACAGGACATACTAGCAAAAAGACAATAAATTCAGCAAAACCTCTTCATCATTAGTATAGCTAGCACTGTCCTATTTATAGTATATGACTGTATATATTACCTTGAACTAGGCATAGCATTGCTAAGTTGTATTGTTCATAGTCAGCTCCAGACTGAAAACTCCATTTGCTCACTTGTAAGTGGCAACTGGGAAGTTTTCTTTGGTAAGAATAGGGCTCTATGTTATCAATTTCTAAAAAACATTAAGCTCCTGTGTTTCTAGATTTTTAAGGTTGCAAAGACAGTAAGTATTTCAAATATAAAACAGAAATGGCAATATAATACAGGTGTTCTCATATTTCAGCAGAAAACTCTTCAACATCTCTTTTGTTCAGAGCCTTGGTGGTACACAATAAAAAACTTGAAACTAAGTCAGTTTTACATCTGTCGTTCAGAACTTTAAGGACTTTTGGGAATCGTCTTGTTTCAGTACTGAGAATGCTATGAACAGAAGCAGGTACTGAAAATCGGAGAGAAAGAAGAATTTCCACTTCCAAACAAGCTGAAAATGGAGACTTCATCCCACAAATTCTCAAAGTGGCCAAGAGAAAGCAGCGCAAAAGGATTTGTTGTATGTTAGAGATCAATACAAAAGATGGAGCCCAATTCCTGGCACAGGATCAAAGAACCATGTGGTAGCAGAAATCTTAGCCTCTGCAAGATTAGCTGTTGACCAGATTACCACCCATGGTGCTCATTAGTAGGAATCATTCAACTTTGTACCTCCTGCTTTGTACCTCCTGGTCCAATCTTCAATCAGACAGCAGATTCTTCCAACTGGTATAACAACGGGGGGGGGGGGGGGGGGAGAGAAATGGACACAATCGCATTTTGGCACCGGACTGAAATTAAGATGATCTGGATTTTATTCGGCTATCACATTCTCAAACAACTCCAGCTACATCACGACCTCCCTACTCGTTTATACTCCAATTTATTGCAACTACCCTTAGAGAAGAGCTATTCCCAATGTCACAGTCACTCAGGCCTTCCCTAGATGCTGCTCTAAGTTGTTACACTATGCAAACCCATGTGTCACACTTAAGTAGTTTTAGATTGATTTATGTAACTGAATTCAGTAACTTAACACTGATAGTGAAAACCAACTTAACCAAATCAATTTAATAAGTGTTTTCTAGCATTTGAACCAGTAAGTAAACTAATATATCTGATGCAGGCCAATGTTCTAACTTGAGCAAGGCTTCCTACTATACTGATAAACAACAGAAAGGAAAAAAAATTATGTGTAGATCTATAGGTATATCCACCCCCCCACCCCCCCAAAAACCAAAAACGCACCTGTCAGTGAATCCTTATTCATTTATGCATATATGTATACAGAGAGAGAGAGCAGGAGCGTAAAAGATTCACTGTAACAAAGGTTTCTTGGATCTGTTTACATTTATCATTGCAGGCTTTCATAGTCACTTAGGGAGCCGTTTGTGAGGTTTAAGTACTGTAGTAACTAGTTCCTGGACATAATCTCAAAACCTGGACAGTGAAACTATTAAAAATCACTAAGGTTTCATGGCCCCATAAATAAAATGCCCAAGACATTATAACAAACAAGTCAATACTTACAGTTTTCACAATTATCCATACAACACTATTATTGTATTGATATTCAAGGAACCCAAGTATGCAATTAATAAGATGTGGAAAGCCATACCACTTATCTTTGTTTGTGACTGAGTTCCACCTACAATAATTCATGTCAGCCACACGTCCCAGGAAAATGCAACTGAGGGATCCTAGACCCATACAGTCATACATCACTAATTCTCAAGAGGAATTTTAAATGTAATTAGCGTTTCAAACTAAGCGATAAGCTCCAGTGCTGACAATCATAATTTACCTAGAAATAGGATGTTCATGGCCTCGACTACAACCTAAGTCCTGAGAGTACCACAGAGCAGATGGGGCATGGTCCCACAAAGGCTGTTTGTTAGCTGTTGTCTGAGGCTCCGAGATGTAATCACCCACTCTCATTGCAAAGAACAGGTTAATTTTCTTTTCCGTAGTTGTGTAACCACTTGCTTTGTGCTATATTTGTAATAAACAGGCTCTTGTAAATGACAAAACACCAAAGCTGGAGCATGTTCCTCCAAGCAGCCATTTACGATTACATTTTCAAAGCAAAAACTGTCAGTCCCAGATTTGGTAAAAAAAAATGTTCAGTAATCCTATGGACTGGTTGAAGCATACAACCCATGGGGCACAAAAAACAGCTATGAACATTTATAGAAGAGAAACTGCTGATAAGAATTAAGAAATTAGTCTGCAATCTGCAGTACTTTTGATTTTCATACCTGATTTTTTTTTTTTTTTTTAAACACATTCTTGGCCCCATATTTTAATCAATTCATAGAAAATATAGCAATTCTAAATGGCTTCAATGACTCCCGAAGATCTGATACATAAACTTTAAGCTCACATGCAAAAATTACTCCTTGTTCTGCAACCTTTGGGGAGGAGGGGTGAAAGACTTGTTTTTTCTTCTTAAGGTTAAAGAATAGTACCCTAGGAGAATCAAAGAGAAAACCATTCCAACCAAGCTCAACTATTTAAGATCTAGGATCATTTTAAACCCAAGATTTAGGGGCTTCCATAACATGGACTCTAGAGACTGCATCTACAGCTTGTATTAAACCACTAGCTCCCAGATTCAGGACAGGAATTATGAATGAAGTTCTACTCCCTGTTAAACAGGAAAAGAACTAGATCACAAGCGACTCTTCTGGACTTCAAATTTATTTAAAAAATTGCCATACATTCACCTACTACTCCCACCAACCCCTCAATAAAAGCAACTAATGGCACTGCCCTTTTCTGTGAAGGCAGAAATCTAGAACAAAAAGTGTATATGCTCTTAATAGTCAACTACATTTACCTTTCCACTCCCCTCCACCCAGATCTGCTCTCTACTCCCTCCACCCCCTCAAATTGAAACAACCCCGGAGTTGTTTCAGTAGTTAATTAAGCCAGTTTAGTAAAAAAACCTAAATGATACATTTCGTACCTAGTTAAAACTTAAATTAACAAAGCTAATACAGCAATCCTTCTTACACTTCTTAAACATAGGAGCCTTTCTATTTGTTATCAGTATTTATGAATTAAAACTAAAACTAGATATACATTTATTAAAGGTCATTTATATTTTACCTTTCATCCAAGAGATGCTGACTTCTTTATAAACCATAGCAAATACTTTACCATAGCATGGAATCAATACTGGGATTCAAAATGGGTAGCAATGCATTGCTATGCACTGCACTGCCCGACAGTGTACAAGGCAGATACTTGGATGAGACATCAGAAAAACCCTATGGAGCAAACATTTGCTACAAAATGCTAGTAGGGAAGAAATATGCCTGTGGCACATGGCCAAGTTCTGCAAATGTTAAGAACCCTTTCAAAAGTTTTCAAACTTCAGAACTTTCCAGATGCAAAGAGATGTAGAGATTTTTCTCCCCTGAGACTACATGCATCTTCATGCTGATACTGCTTCAAACTTTCACAAGAAGTAGAGTGAAACAAAACTTGTTTTTTGAAGCCTTCCAGAAACTGAGAACTGCATCATGCAAGGCATGATCTGAAGGACACAACTAGAAACTTAAAAAGCAATCTAGCTTCAGTGGTGTTACACAGAACAGCCTGCCACAAAACAGAGTGCTATAGTGTATTCAAGCACTGTCATTTACTATGGGCCTTTGAAAGCATGTTTAAACATGCTTTCAATTTCTCTGTAAAGCCACAAATGTATGTGAAATAACTAACTGTGTACGGTCACTCTGATGTGTTATAAAGTTACTAATTTATTAAACCGATTTAAGTCAAATCAGTTCAGCTTCCAGACTTAGATAACAGCAAAGAGATACAGAAAAACTTTAGTGTTAACAACTGACAAATGACAAAACTGCACGATTCACCCCTATACGCCTTGCCCAGGATGCAGGAATCCACAATAGGAGTAAAACTTTTATATTTAGCTGCTATGCAGGTTTTGGTACAAAAGAAATTCTGGGGATCAGAAGGAGTGGATGGTGCATGCTATTCCAGCTATCCTCAATGTCATCACTGCCTGCTGATTCTCAACTTCTCTTTACCTCCTTTTCTTAACCTGGTCCAAATGCACTG